GTGAGCGTGGGGGTAGGGTGAGTGGGAGGAGCAGCGTGGGAGCTGGGGGGCCGCGGCAGAGGCGCTTAAAGGCCTGCGGCTTGGGGCGCCTGCCTCTCCGCGCCTCTTCTAGCACAGCGACCCAGGCCCCTGCCCAGGGAAGGCGCCAGGCACCTAGACACCGGCCCTCCGTCCTTTCTTCCTCCCCAGCCAGAGGGAGCACTCCGTGTCTGACCCTGCCCGGGGAAGGAGAGCGGGCAGGGAGAGGAGGGGTCGGAGGTGGCAGGAGGTCCAGGTCCGACCCCGTGGCACCATCGCTGGCCCCCGGAGCGTGCCGGGAGTGGCCGGGGGTGAACAGCCTTCAGCTGGCCCGGCTGGCCCCAGCCAGTGCGCACGTACACCTCGGCGGCCTTTATTTATTTCGTCCCCCAGCCCAGCCGCTTCTCTGGAAAAGGGCTGGGCACCGGGCTGTCTTGAATAAACACAAACCCAGATGGAGCCGCTTCTGTGTGGCCTCAGACTGCCTCCCTAATGGGGGGACCCGGTGGGCGGGACCTGGTGGTGAGTGACACCTGCCTTTCTGTCGGCCTTGGCTCACACAGATGCCCCTCCGGGCAGCTGTGGTCCCCATGCACGGGAGGTGAGCCACAGACGTGTCTTGCTCAAGGCCACAGGGGCTCAGATCTGCAGGGTCCCTCCAGAGCTTTCCACCAGGAACCCTTTGATGCCTTCCCTCACCTTTGACTCTCAGAGGGCCTCCAGACGTGGGTAGACGCTGGGTCAGGGAGATACTGATGGGAGAGTGTGGGGTGGGGGGCCACGGAGAGGAGCCACGTGGTCCTCTGTCACTCCAGGATGGGACAGCTGCATCCTGAGAGGCTCCCGTCCACCACGTGGCTCCCATATAGTTAGCCATAGTGGCCTTGTCACTCTGCGTATCCCTGTTTAGACAGTGAGTGTGGTCGTCCCAGAACGGGAGAGGTGGGGTGGTGTGAAGTGGGTGATCTGAAATGGAAAATGAAAGAGCTTTCTGCACATCAGGTTAGGCCTGCAGGCCCCATAGAAACCCGGATGGGGGGTGGGGTTATCAGGCAGGAGTGGGGGCATGGAGGGAAGGACAGGCTGTCACCAGGGTTCCTTGTGGGTCCCCGCAGAGCTGTCAGACCACATCACCTTTCAAGGGAGCAGCCAGCGTGGATGCCAAGGTCGTAGACAACCCACAGCCAGGGTTCCAGTGGTGGCCTGAGTGACCCTGAGCTGGCCCCTAACTCCAGGTGCCTTAGCTTCCCTGTCTGGGGCAGAGGACAATGGCACCTGCCCCATGGGTCATCAGAGGATTAAAGGCTGACATCTGTAAGGGATCTGACTGGCAGAGGAAGTGGCTCTCAGGGTTAAAGTAAATCACAGGCCCCGCTGGTGGTGTAATGGTTAGGGTGCTGGACCTGGCTGCTTGAGAAATCAGGCCAGGCGTGCAGCAGGTGTATCCCAAATCCCAGGAGAATGGAGAAGGGATTTTAGCGTGGCCATCCGCCTGGGGGGTGATTTCTCACTTTTCCTCTTACTGTTTCTCTTCAGCAAGCACATGTTCTCTGTGGCAAAACTTTAAAAAAAGTCAAACAGTCACGGGGGGGGGGGGGGGGGAACCCACAGCTGCCCTGTGGGTATCAGTTGGCAGGTATCCGCAGGGCTCGCCAGGCCCTTGGCGTGCAACTGGGACAGTGACGAGTCACGGATTTGCAAAGCTGTGGCTGGAGGGAGCGGGGCCTGCGGTGGAAAAGCCCCCTTCCTTGGGCCCGTGCACCGGGGTGCTCGGGGTGGGGGAGGCAAAGGGAGGGCTGTGCCCTTTGTGGGAAGAGGATACATACACGGAGGAGGCGGATCCCCAGGCCTTCAGCTGCTCGTGAAAGACACGGAGATCCTCGCACCCAGACCCACGCGTAGGACTCGGGGGCTGACGGGCCCACAAAGCCATGGAGCGCCATCCGGAGCACAGTGCCCCAGCAGAAGCCCTGGCCCCGGGTCTCTAGGAGGCGAGGAGCCCGCCTAAGCGAGGGGCGTGTTCAGCACGTGCTTGCCCTCAGCTTCCCCCACGCACAGGAGGACAGGAGGAGGCCGAGGCCGGCCAGGACTCAACCCACCCGACTCCAGCCCTGGGCCCTGGGCGCATTCCCTAGTTGCTGCCAACCCCCGTCACCGTCAGAGGAAGACGCAGACTGCGGCGGACAGGGTCGGGGAGCGGTTCTGGGCCTGGGCGCCCGCCCCGCGGTCCTGGGTCTGCGCTGGGAGTGGCTCTCCCCGCCCTCCGTCTCTAACTCCTCCCCCAAGTCCTGCCCTCCTTCACCTGGAACAGCCTAGAGGGCCCTGGAGAGACCTCCCGACTCTCCCTACCCCGACTGCCCAGTGGGAGCCAGCGCCCTGGGCAGAGGCACAAGAACGGACCTTCTGTCTTTGAGCTGAGCTTTATCCACTCTAGGTTCTCAGCTGGAGCCCAGACTTGGACCCCGGGAGGGGCCACCCCTAAGAGAGGAAGCCCCGTTCCTAAGTCACCAGGCCCCACCCGCCTAAAGCGCTACAGACTTGGTGTCCAGCCCTGGCTCCGCTTCCACCCCGGGTGGGCTCAACACCTCCAGGGCCTCGGTGCAGGCGGGCAAGGGTTCCGAGTGCTCCTCGGCCGCGGCATCCTCCGTGTCTCTGGCCCCAGTCTCGGTGCCTGGCGCCGTCTGGGCGTGCCGAGAGCGGCGGCGCAAGCAGCAGTTGGTGGCGATGGCCATGAAGACCCCAGCCAGGACCACCTCAGAGCCAGCCAGGTAGAAGATGATCTCGTAGTTCTTCAGTGCGTCCACCAGGCGGCCTGCAAGGGTGGGGGCACAGGTCTCCGCTCCTGCCTCACTCCTTGCCGGCCCCCTCCCCCATTCCCTGCACCTTCAGATAAAGGGCAGTGCTGCCAACTTGGTGGGGCTCACGGGGGACGCATACACACGCCCCAGTCTCTATTCCTATTTTCTGTCTGCAAATCCCATGTTCTGCCGTTGGAGACCTTTAAAACGTCTCTTTTTTTTTTCTCAGTGTTGAGGTTTTTCGCTACAGGGTACAGACAGAGACAGAGAGACAGAAAGCAAGAAATCACCCCCCAGGGGGATGGCCACGCCGCAATCCCTTCTCCATTCTCAGGATCTTGGGCACGCACACGCGCCTGGCGTGCGTTTAAGCCACCGGGTCCCGGACGCGAACCGCGGTTGACTACGTGGGAGTCCAGCAACATAGCCATTACACTAA